CTAGCAGCCTTTCCGCCTTTTGGAATCCGTCAGAATGCTTTGTTTGCCGTGTGGAAATTCGACTCTAATACCTCTACGCACTTCTCCCAGCAATCAGCCATGGCTTTCGTCACTGCTTCGCTGTTGCCTTTCGTGCATCTACATATCGCATGCAAGTAGAAGACTCCTTGCTTCCAAGCCATTTCTTGAATGCTGCTTTCTTCTTTTTAACTGCCAGTTGTACCTCTTGTGTCCACCACGAAGATCTTTTCTGACCTCCAGGCGGCAGTCCAACCCGTTTAAATCCGCAGCATTCGACGGCAGCTTCCAGGGTGCTGCTTTTAAAGAGTTCCCTATGGGTTTCCACATCAGAGGTCAACATGTTGAAACCGTTGTGAGATGCTATTTGCAAGTTTCGTTGTAATAACCGCTAGAGAAAATGTTTCCGATTGGATTTTCTCGCTGCTCCTACGACCAGAACTTCGTGTGGTAGTTCAGCCTACCGTGCCAACAACAAGATGGTGATCAGTTAGCTCTGTTTCTCTCTTAATGTGAACATCCATTAAAGAATGCCTGGATCAGACGATACGCACACGATATCGATCATCGTCTTCAATGCACAAGCTTCTCTGTATCAGATGTACACATTGATGTTCGAGAAAGGTATTAATAATGGCCGGTCCGTTATTTGCACACAACCGCAGTAACTTCACGCCGTTATTGTCGAGGTAGCGTGGGTCGTTCCTTCCAATCACGCCTTTCTACTTCTCAGCGTCTATTCCGAAATGCGCATTAAAATCGGCCATTATAATGAGGCAGTTCATAGTCGGCCGTTTCTAAAGAGCACACTCCACTTAGAAGGAAGGAATAATGTTCTACCTCGAAACTGAGAGCAACGGGCATGTTACAAGGTCACGGTTTTAGTGTGTTGTTGCTTCGGTCGGAGGATTGCCACCCTTCCGCGGACAGGGTTCGATCAAGTGATTCTATCAGCGGGGCTGGGTTCTACCAGAAGACCAAAAGTGGTGGTGATATCAACATCTGGGTAAGAGAGCTTCTACCCTCAGAGGGTCAGGACTTCAGCGCCATTGGGCGCTTTGTGTACGAGAATATAACACGGGTTTTTACTCTGTGACCTCATAAACTCGCTCCCGCTCTTTCACTGTGAGTGAGGATATGTTGCGGTTTTCGGCTATATGTTCTCATTGGCAGTGTCCTTAGCGTGATGCCTTTTCTCTGTGTTCTAGTGAAACGACGCTCTCTGGACCCCGTTCACAGTGAGTTGCGATTCGATTGTTGATTAATATTTTCGTCTCATGGATCTTTGCCAGCTGATTTAATGCTGCTACGAGAACAGCGGTCAGAAAAAAATGGAGGATCTGATCCTCGAGTTTTCACAACCTGTTTCAGTCCTCACAGACTGCGCAAACCGTGTTAAATTGGTCGATATCTGAGCTGGTATATTTTTCGATGATATCAACACCGTGAGGGGCAGGAGACTAAGTTTAAGGAAGACTTCGTTACGGTAGGCAACTGTCTTCCTGTCGCACCCGGGCTTGGCCACGGTAGTGGCGAAGTTTAATGATCAATCGTCATAGAGAGCAAAGTAAAATTTATGAACTGATAATTCAAAACATGCATGTTGATGATAAGACCTCAATGCGATCTGGATGGCCGAAATTTGTGCATATCGCAAATTTACCATCAGAGGATAACATTTATCATTATGTACATTAAAATGAAATTTTTCATGTCATGCCCTATTTGTCAAAGAGAGTGCAGAGCTAAAAGGGAAATAGCCATTTGCTGAAGTGAAATAATTATCAGTACCAGGAAGAAGAATGCAAAGCGACTGAATCTAGAACTGGTTCCAAATGCTACATGAAAAATGCCCAACGGTAGAATGAAAAAAGATTCAAACGAATCATCAATAATATGGCCCTGTGAACTCGACTGATCAAGCCTATCTGATTTACAGAAAATTCCAGGAACTGGAAATATCGCTCAAGATCGGTGTCGCTGGATCGAAAGGGAATATCGGAAACAGACTGGAAGAAAGAGTGAATAAAAGGATCCTAGAAGATAGAGGTTACTGAAGACTGCAAGCTGAAAACCATTTGGGTTAGGATCTGTCGAACCGGCTGGCGGGAGTAGCTAGAAAACAGGAATTACAAGGTTTAACTTGGAAACACAGCGTATATGCAAATGGAAATAATTGCCTTCACCAGATATCAAAGACTTCATATCTACACCATAATCTTCCCTGTTCCAGCGCCGACAGGCCCTATTATGTGCCTGTGGATTCTTTGTTCATCCTCGGGAATCAATCCACGTTGATCTGCTGGCTGTACTTCCAGCGCGAGGTACGTTTTAGTCTTGTAACGTGCGGCGTGCCTGCGCTCTTTCCTTTGTTCGGCCCACGTTTCTGGTCTTTTGTGGGAGGCGAGAGCTTGCCAGTTTGTTCGCTTCACGTCTAAGGTGGCGTGCGTGGTGACAGCGTCTAATTGCCTCCGCTTCGTTACACTCAGTCTTGGCTGACCGCTGCACTATTACGTTTATATGAAGTAAAGTTGATGAAGAGTTTTCTAACGTAAACGCTTGTTTAGACTCTCTGTTTCATGGTCAAAAAAAAAACCACGTGAAAAAATGGCAGAAGTATGAAATCACTTGAAAAGTAATTAATTCTTGCAGATCAGCAAATTTGCTCCGCATTACTGTAACCACGCGGCAAATTATAGGTAGCATTCAATTATTTAAAGTGGAAGAAGCATCCACTCTGTGGTTTCATAGCACACACAATTAGCTGTTCGTCGTCGATGTCCTTAACTCAGACCTGCAGATAACTGAGTGAAAATAATGTCTCCCAGGTCGTAATGTAGACGGGATTCGCAACCCGTTGAGAAAGAAAATGATGAAGTGGGGAAGCGTTCTGTTGCTTTGTTCTTGATTCGTCGATCTTTTTTCCGCGAATCGCTTTTTCTGTTTGGCCGATTAGTTTCTCTTCCGGCTGGTGACCGTATTCTCTGCGGGAAGCGGCTTGATGTGCGGTTGGTTGTCATCGTCGTCGTCAAGTTTGTCTGCCTACTTGCCTGTTGGTCTTCGATTTCGATTTTCACGGTGAGTCACAGTCGTTGCTGGCGGCCGTGACTAACGTCGTTTACTTTACATGTCGAGGAGGCCTACCCGAGGGATGGCAGCTAACGTCTACAAGTCTTTTCCTCGTTCTGTTCCGTCGGCCGCGGCCCTGCCCTAATGTCGTCGCGAGTACCTCATGACAATACGAAACGAGATCGCTCTA